TTGTTTGGGTACTTTTACTTCATTAAGCAGGCTAAGAAAGGAGAAAAGTAAGAAGGGGAAAAAGAAAAAGAACATTTAGCACCATCATTCAGACTTAGTTCTTCACTGATTCTTATTTTTCAGTACTTACTGTAAATAATCACCAACCATTTTGGTGTCTTAATACTACATTCTCTTTTCTTCAGTTGCTAAAACAGGATAGGATAATTATAAGGACTTTTATGCATTTAGAAATTGAAAACAGAAGAGTAATTGACATATTGATCATTTACATATTTTGCACCCTTCATTGCTGCACCATGCTATCCAAATCATTAACATTGTTACCTGAGTGACTAAGCTTCAAATTAAATTTATGTTCCATTCCTAACAAACAGAAAATGCACTTGCATTAATATGCCATGTGAATTTTTACATTTGTCAGAGAATGAATATGTGGACCACAAACACCATAGAAACAGACACATTTTCCCTCCAAATGGAAAATGATGGTTTTAAATAAATAAATTTAAAAAAAAGAATTATTAACAATTTTTACTGTTCTTGTGTTTGAAAATGTGTATACAAATTTTCACTTCATGCCATAGAAATAGACAGCATGTAACTTTGTGTATGGCTTTCCTCAAGAAGTCTTGCCATGCCAAAATCAGTCTTGAAACTTAACATTTACATGTACTATGTTTTCATATATAAACGTCTTGCCATTTGTACTTAAGTTATTCAAACAGCTGCTGGCCACAGTTAGTCATCTTCATCCAGAAGCCTATTTACAAGAAGATGGAGAGAGTTTTTTTACTCTGTAGAGCAACGCAAGAACAAGCTGCCAAACCCAAACAGATTCACATTTTCGGAATTTACATATACTGGTGTTTACATGTTTTATGTTACTGCACCTAATAAAATATAAGTATTCAATGTACAACTGTGCCCAAGACCTCTTTTTCAATGTAGACACTTAACAGTGAACCACACTTTCTTATATAAGGAGTATGCAACATAGCAAACAGTAAAGCTACTAAGCAGTAAGCTGCCACTACCATCAAAAATTCACTTTAAGATAATTTTGCAGAACTGCAGCTTCAGCAGAGAGGCAAATAATGAATTTTTTGAAATCTTATTTTCTCATTGAGTCCAAAATTTAAGTTATACAATCACTTCAAAAAAGAAAAAATAGTTAATTTCCCAAACACTTTAAATATGTAACTTCAATGTTTTTCAGAAGAGTGCAAATGGTATAGTTATGCGTTTATGGCTTCTTGAAGCTATACACTGGCTACTAAGAAATAGAGAAATTCACTTCTGTCCTTTTCTTCAGATTCTGACCTTCCATTTAAAAAATGTGTTTAAAGTTTATTATTGCGAAGCAGACCTCAGCACATCACTGATGAGGCATCTGCTTAAACTTGCAGAGAGGCATGAAATATAGTTATGAAAAACTATCTATGAAATGTGTGAAATTTTCTATTTGTTTCAGCTAAAAGAATTCATACATATTTCCACTGATGATAATTGAAATGTCAACACTGTTAATTTCATTCGACAAAAGTCAGGAAAGGTGTCTTTCACACAGTTCTTAGGTTTTATCTTGTCTACTTCAAATGGATTTCAGTTTAGACATACTTGTGTATATTTTCATCAATGAGCACACCGGAGTTAATTAATCAACCATTTTGATGAGGAAATGTGATAGAGATATTCAGATACTTAACACAGTTGCCCTTTTTTTTTTTTTTTTAATGTTTGAATGAAGGCTTCCTGATTTAATGTTGATTCATACGTTTCAAATATTCCATTTCGTGTATTGTTAATTGTATTTCTCTTTAATTGATTAAAACACAGTGATTTTACCCCACTTGAAATGCTCATGACCTAACTTGATAATATACTAAATTTTGTAAATTATAGTTCTACAAAATATTTTGCCAAATTACAACATTGTTATGGATTACTAATTTGTCAAGAAATTTGGAACCACAAGAATTTGTGTGGTTCCAGGTCATCTCTTTCCCTGGTATTGATAGTTGCCATTCAAATTGCTGTAAAGCAATTACTTTATTTTCTTTTTGTTTAAAATACCTCTAAGTGCCATTTTCAATAACTTTGGTTCTAGTTTCCTCCAAAATATTAGGCAGAAGAGATTTTAAGTTTTTTTTTTAAACTGTGCAAAGTAAAGTAGGCTAGCATTTTAATAATTCTATTATAAATATATTGTATATATATATAGTGACAGTATAAAGAACTTCTGAAGGAAAAAAATGGGTATAATAGTTCTGAAAAATAAAATGAGATAAGATATTGATATTTACATGTGAGGTTTTTTTGGCTTTCTTCTTCCCTCACTTTTGTTTTTAAGGAAAGAATGAATGAGTCATATTATGTCAAGTTATCTGTTTTGCAAAGGCATTAGCCTCAAAGGTGAAATGTGTGTGTATAAAACCAGATCCATTGGTGCTCCTATTACTTTCCATAGGACAAGTCAGTGCTCAGAATATATATACTGAATAACAACTTTCAGTAATTAACCTCTACCATCAACAGTATCATTTAGCTTATGCTTCACTTTAAACATTTGAAATAAGACTAGTCATGTAGCAAAAGCTAAAGCTCCTGCCAAGAAATTTTATAGAGTGGGTCTGTAAAGAAGCCTTAGAGAAAGGGTAGAAAAAGTATTTTAAAAATCACTTGTATTCGAAAGATAGATTGCTAAATAGTCAAGACTGACAGATAAATCACCTGCTACTATTCACTAGCACAAATGAGCATATGAAAGACTGCCTTACTCTTCTTTCCTTCTACTCCTCTGCTCTCAAGGTAGCCTTTGTTTTGTGTTGGTCTTCCCATCAATCTTTGACCATTGTCAGAGCTTCCAAAGCATTATGAAAATTGTCCCTGCACTGCTTAAAACATCACATTACTGTCAATGCATGTCAGTGGCTTGGACAGTGTATCCTACTTTAAATGCAGAAAAGAGAAGCTAAGAGAAGGTAACAGAAGAGAACCTAAACTAAGCTGATCCAAGCTAAGCTTTGCTCTCAGTCTCACTTCCTTCATAAGTTCTTTTTTTGCTGTTTTAAATATCTTATACACAATTTCTGATTAGTCACTTGGTTTTCATGTGCAATAGCTGTGCTTTCAGTTGACCAGCCAGTCTTTGAGTCTCATGATCTCTGGGATGATGAAAGCTGTGAGTATATGTAAAGGTGCTGACACACACACAGAACAGGGAAAAGCTCCTGGAAAATTCTGCATTGGAAGTACAGACTATTGATATCCCTTATGGAAATGGCATAAACCCTAAGGTATGTGAAATACTAAAATATTAAAGAAATAGATACAGCATATGTACAGTTACTGAGAAAGAAACAAATCTAAAAGCAGGTCATTCACTTCTTTTATTAAAGAAAGTGACAAAAAGTTTTGAACTATATATGAATGATGATATGCATTTATGTGATTCATGTCTTCACAGGATAGTGAAAGTTCTAGGACTGAATAATTTACAATCAGATGAACAAACTTCTGAATGTGATTGACCTTTGGGAAACAAAGACTGTCCTCTTTGAAGGTCAGTACAGCTGAAATATACTTATAGAGGAGGGGAAGAAAGAAGCTAACTGTCTCAGGTTGTCTGAGTCATAATAAAATGCATTAAAGTGTCACTTTGGAAGCTTTTCCTCCTTTTACCAAGTCAATTCCAGAACAAAAAGTATAGTCATTAAAAAGAGAAAAGTAAAAATGTTGCAAGGTGCGTATTTAGTTTCAAATTTTAAAAATGCCTTTAAATGTATGTCAGAAAAGTCAGGAAAGGTTTATGATTAGTATGACTAAATGACAAGACTAGTAAGAATCTGCAATTTTGAGTCCATTATTTCCCATAATGAATCACATTTTTGTAAGTATCTGAAAATTAATCTTATTTTCTTAAGGTAAGCCAAATGAAACATTACATCTGATCAGATCCTTATGACTAAGCAAATAGAGTCAATGAAATTGCAACTGAACATTAAGATTTCCTTTATTCATAATGATCACTAATGAAAGTAATGTATTTGATTGCATCAGTCAATAAGCAAGGTATTAAAACACATAAAATCCATATCTATTAGTCTTAAATATTTATTAACTAAACTAGACAGAACAGTGTCAAAGTATTAGCTTACAGGATATAAAATGCACCACTCAAAAAAGTCAAATAAGCAAGCACAATGTATTATTGCTCTCACCCCTCTAAAGTCTGTGTTTTAGTTTGCTTTCAGACTTCCAGTGCCAAGGGCACAAGTGACATTATACTCATTATAGAGTCCTAGAAAAGCCTGGGTTGGAAAGGACCTCAAAGATCATCTAGTTCCAAACTGTCTCCCATGGGCAGGGAAACATTCCATGACATCACAAACCCAACCTTGAATACTGCCAGTGATGAGCATCCACAAGTTCTCCAGGCAACCCATTCCAGTACCTCACAACCCTCATAGTAAATAATTTCCTCCTAAGATTTAATCTAAATCTCTTCTATTTTAGTTTAAAATCATTTCCCCTTGTCCTAATACTATCTGCCCATGTAAAAAGTCACTCCCCTTCTTTCTCATAATCTCTCTTTAAGTACTGAAAGGCCATAATGAGGTTTCACAGAAGCCTTTTCTTTTCCAGGCTGAACAACACCAGTTCTCTCAGCCTGTCTTCACAGCAGAGGTGCTCCAGCCTCCTCCATCTTTGTGGCCTCCTCTAGACTCACTCCAACAGGTCCCTGTCTTTCTTGTGCTGAGGATCCTTGGCCTGGATCAAGTACTTCGAGTGGGATCTCACAACGGCAAAGTAGATGGGAATAATCCCTTCCCTCACCCTGCTGCCCACACATGACACTCTTGGCTTTCTGGGATGCAATAACACCTTGCCAGCCTCTCACCCACCAGCATCCCCACGTCCTTCACAGCAGAGCTACTCTCATCCGCCAGGTTGCATTGATACTGGGGGTTGCCCCAACCCAGATGTAACACCTCCCATTTGTTCTTGCTAAACCTTATGAGATTCCCACTGGTCCACATCTCAGGTTTGTCCAGGTTCATCTGGATGGCATTCAGGACCAGCTGTACAGTACTGAATGATTACCAGTGAATTATGGAACACTCTGACAGTGTTTGGAAAGAGAAGAAGCTGACAACTCAGAGAATTTAATGTTCACTTTGCTCCCCAGGTTTGAGGGCACAGTATCAGTTGATATCATGTGGGGTGATGTCACCTTCTTGGGGGGACAGGAATCATGCAGAGTTGGGTGTTTTCTTCAGGGACTCCAGGAAGATGCGCTCACCTTCCAAGAAATCAAGCTCCTGAGAAGACAGGGATGGATGAGATATGTATGAGTGACAGGGGCACATCCCACGGTGACACTCATGACAGAGGGAAGGATTCCAAACCCTTCTTCATGCAGGGAGCTATAGGCTGGCACTCATCTGTGGTACCCATTGGCATACATGGGGAGGCCTCCCTATAGTCCATAACAACGAGTGCGACCCACCTCCAAGAGCATCCCTGCTTGCGCAAGGACACATCTGGGAAGCAGGAGCTGATAGGAGAGAGTGGGGACTGAGCCAGAGTCTGGTAGAGCTGGCTTCACTTATACAGGGATGGGGTGGGAGAAGGACAACCCTGGTGAGCTAGGGATGTTATCCATGAACATGAGACCAGCTATGAGGAGACACTTGTCCTTGCTTTTGCTATTACTCCTCTGTCTCCACTTTCTGCAACCTTGCCCAACCCAGCATCTCAGTAGTGGTCTTAGGAGACACCCTACGCTGTGTATATCAGTCTCAAATCACATTTTACCCAGCCCTGCTCCCACTCAGCTGGTTCCAAGCTCATTCCAGCCCCTGTATCCCACTGCCTCACCATCTGGGCCCTGTGTCTCAGCATCTGTAGCGTGGCATTGAGTGCAGTGGAGCTGTCTGTGTTGTCCCTGCAATACCACAGGCCATGCTGAGGGTGCATCCTGCCTGCAAAACACACCTGACTGGATGGTGCATTGTTGTTGGAGGTTTCACAGATGGGGAAAACAGAGCAAACCCTTTTTTTTTTTTTTTTTTTCTGACCACGTGCACCTGCAGCAGTATTCTCCCCAAATTCCCAGTGCAAAAGGGCTTTAATACACCAACACCCCAGAGCACTGCCCTGGCTCAGAGACTTTAGCTGAGCTCCTGCAGAGGATAAGGAGGCAAACTCACACACAGATGAGCTTTAGACGTTAAAACTGCCCCCAGGAACATCCTAAGCCTCCTGACAAATGGACTACAAAAGCAGCTGCTTTCCACACAACCCTTTCTATCAGCATTATGAAGTCTTACACTGTGTGCTGGAGAGGCTTTCCATAGGGGCACAGAGGTTCTGGGCTGTATTGCACAGCTGTTCGAGCTGTCTCCTCTGCTGAGTTGTGCTCAGCCAGTCCTGCTCCATTCCCACAAGAAAGAAGAGCTGTTGGCAAATGTGTGGGCCCTTGGCACAGGGGCCAGAGGCCAGAAAGGAGAGGAGGTATTTGCCTGGTGCAGAAGCTCTTGATCCTGCCTCAACTGCTCCAACTGTTTCTGCGTCGCCTGGAGCCTTTTCTGGTACAAGGACTCTATTCGGCGTGCCTCCCGCAGGGCTCGCTTCCCTACTCTGTATTTCTGGGATGAGCGCTGCAAAGCAGAGTGGAAGATGGGAGACAGAGCCCCTTGCTGCCCAGGGGCAGGGCTTCTTTGCACATCCCCTTATTCCCAGCTAAGGATTAGAATACAAGGCTTAAGGAGTGTGAAGCCCCAGGTTTGCTCCTGGCCTCTGTACAGCTGTGAATTGCAGTGCAGATGCTTCACTTACTTCAATCAGGCTTTTAATCTCTTTCTTCTGCTTCTGGATTTGCTGGGTAGCACTGTTCACCTTCTCCTTCTCTAGCTGCAGCTCATGCCAGGATTCATCTAGCTGCTCCCTGTCCCTCTCCAGCTGCTCCTCCTTGGCTCTCAGCCTGTGGCCCTGGAAACTCAGCTCTGCCTGCTCCTAGGATGGGCAAGGGGAAAGAGTTGCATTACCTGCCCTGTTCATCTGGACACTTTTTAATGTCTTCCCAAGTAGATGAAGGAGATCAGCCCTTGCTGATCTTCTCCTACAGGTCAGTTTGGGGTGCAGAAAAACACCACTAGGTACTCAAGCAGTGCACTCATTCACCTGCCCTTGGGGGTCAAGACTTGCAGTCAAGCTCTGTACAGACATACTCACATTCTTTCCCCGAAAGGACAGAGCCCCTCACCACGTTGCACACCCTAAGGTGTGCTCAGGGCATGGCAGTTTGTCAGCAGTGGGAAGACTTGGCCTGAGTGGTTATTTTCCACCCCACTAGTGCTTAAAAAGGCAGTTCTACTGCATCGTCTGTGCCATATATTCACTCTTGGCAGCCCCAGGTGAAGGAAGACAAGGCTTTAGAAGGGTTAATCGAAGCATCTTACTGCAAAAACCCACTCTTCTCTCTCCCCCTTTTTCTACCTTGCTCTAAGGAGATCTTGTTCTGTACAAATTCTGTAGACATAACCCATAGGTACATTGTACAAAGAGCCCAGAGGTAATAAAATATAGCCAAATAGGCTAAGGCAGACATTTGAATAGGTGAAGTAGGCCTAAAGCCAAGGTTTTCTTCAAGCCTGGGCGATCAGAACACGAAACAAAGGAAAGTACAGAAGGTCCCCGGGGTCACCCGATGAAGAAGAGTAGATTTGAGACCCCATGATGAAGACTGGAACTACCCTAAATTATTCCTCAAAATAGAGACCACGCCTCCAACTCTGCCCTGACTCCACCTGCTATGAATATTATAATCTAATGATGCATAAATATGAATATGCATGTGATTATGTTGTAATCGTAACTAGAAACTGTATAAATTGCTTGTTCTATTCAAGCACTTTGGAGCCTGTTTTCCCAGCACAAGCTGGCAGGCTGCCCAGCCGCTCAATAAATACCTGCTGTTTTAAGGCATAAAAATGCTGCCTCTAAGCAGTCCTTTTTTCTACCTGCCTTTTTGGGCATCACGGGCAGGAGCAGAATGTGGCTTGTCATGTGCCCATGGCACAGGGAGGTTTTGCCTAAGCCACCTTGGAGGCTTCCTCTCAGCAGACTTAAAATGAAGGTCTGCTGCTTCTGCTCTGACCGTCCAAACTCCTCACAGGCATAGGAGAGAGACAGAGAGGACTGATGCTTCAGTCAACATCTAAGACATAGTGGTGGAGGTTGTTCCTCAATAGCTGGGTTCGCACCACACTGAGTCGTGTCTCTGACTTTACACCTGAAGGCAGCACTGAACGTCTTCCCTGCAGGTAGGACCCATTCCTAGTGCCTGCCAGGTGGTGCTGAAGGCCACGGGAAGGGGTTCCACTGTGGTACCTTGGCCAGTCTCATCCTGGTATGGTCCATCTGTCGGGATTGCTCCATCTTCTGCTCCTCCCACTCCTCCCTCAGCTTCTCTTGGATATGGAATTCTGCCCACTCAGCCTCCAGCTTCCCTCGTTCCTCTGAACACTTCTGCAGCATTGATTTCTGCTCCTCCATCAAAGTGTTCTGGAAAACATGGCAAGAGAGGCAGAGAAGAAGCCTTAAGTCCCATCTGCCAGGAGATTTTTCATATTTGACACATTGTTCCCATTAAACCCCACAAAACATTAAAAGGTTGGTTTCAGCCCATGGCCAGAACTCTGCAAGGAGAGCTCTGGCTTCTTCTCCTTGAGAACCAGCATGAGTCATGCAGTTACACAGCAGCCTCTGGTATCTACACAGTAGAAGGTTGTTTGGATGGTGATTCCCCACATGAGCAGGTGTGGGATGAAGAAAAGAGAGGTCAGACAAAGGAGGCTGCAGCACAGCATCCAGCTCTTTCTGTCATCACATACTGCAGTGCAGTGCTGCACACACTGACAGCACATGTGAAAAGCACCTGGCCATGTCCACCTGACCTCACCTTCACCCTCTCCAGCTCTTCTCGCTCTGTGGAGAGCTGCTGCCTCATGAATTGTCGCTGCTTTTCCAGTGAACACTGCAGTGATTTCACTTTGGCTTCCTCTACCATTGCCCTGCCACGCTCCTGGGTTTGGACATGAAGGAGAGACAGATGTCATTCCCAGACTCCAGTGGGTGAGGCACGTGACCCATACCCACACAGGAATGCTGATGTGTGCACAGGACCCAAACTGGGCTCACCTGCTCCAGCAGCTGAGTCTGCTCACTCAGCCTGGCCTCCAGTTTTGCAATCACCTCCTGGAATTGGCTCCGCTCCTTTGCCATGTCCCTCTGCTGCTGTGACAGCCTGTCCTGGAGCTCTGGGGTAGAGGCAGCAGCAGGGCCATGAGCAGCATGAGCTGGGATACGCCCACAAGTAGGTGCAGAAAAACTGCACCTACTTGTGCTCACCACCTGCTGCACATCTCCAGGACTCTGTTTTGTCAAGGGTACACCTTGAGATGTTGGGTAGCCAAAGCAAGCAAGGCTTTGCCAGCCTCAGCTGGACTGACTTTCTCCAATAAACTCATTAACAGAAGTGAGGGTCTTCAGGTGTACATTCTGTAGGAATGAATCCCACTGTGACGATACATACCCTTGAGCTGCTTATCGTGCTCCTGCGATGTGGGATGTTTTTCCTGCTCCCGTGGCATGAGATGTTGCTGTGCTGGGGCCATGTCTTGCCTATGCAGTGGGAGCTGAGCTGCCAGGTGCTCCTCCTGCTGCCGCCTCTCCTCCTGCTGCCGCCTCTCCTCCTGCTGCCCATTGTTCTTCTCCACCACCTTCATGTGGCTCCTGCCAAAGAGTTAACAGCAAGAACAGAGTGTTGCTTTCTTGCCATATCCGGCATGCTGGGGATGTGCTGGCAGTGGGACTGGCCCCTCCTCCTTGTCACCCATAGCACTGTTGATGAGAATGAGCCACCACCCTGGTCCCCTGTGGGGCTGCTCTCTGCCACCACCAGGTTCACACTGACACGGCTCTTCCCCCATCAGGGATGGACTGGGGAAGCACTCCAGCATTCCCACCTCAGGGGAGATGGACAGGGCTATAGGCTAGGACCTGACAGAGGAGGGAAGAACAGGTCAGAATCTGCTACCTGTGGGCAAATGCAATGAGATCCAAGTCCTCCTGGTGCTGCTGCTGGAGAAGCCTCAGTAACTGCCTGAGCTGTGTCTGCTCTATCTCCAGTGTCTGGACCTGCTTGACACCCAGAGAGAAGGCCCTTGTGTGATCCCAGTGGCAGAGTTCCCACAGTAGCACTTTGGGGCTGTAGGCATCTCTAGACACCAAGATTTCTTCCATCTGCCCTGTCCACCGATGTTACTTGAAGCAGATGGCCCCTTCTCCTCCCTCTGCGTCACCTGTGGTCTCCCCACCCAGCAGGCAATGAGGCTCACCTGGCCCTCCAGCTGTGACACATGAGCTTGGATGTGGAGCAGTGCTAACAAGCAGCTTGATGCAGACTGGAGATGCGACTCAGCTGCATTACCCTGACGGGACACAGGGATGTTGTCAGGGAGGTAAAGCACCAAATAGAACATCTCTTCCTCACCCTGGAACAGTAATCCCTAGCCCACTGCAGCCCTTCCTGTATCCTTCTCCTGCCCAACCACAGTGCTGGTAGGTCCTTTCTCCCCAGGAGCAGCCCCTACCCCAGACACAAAGATACTGTGCTTTGTTTTCACGAAACAGATTCAAGGAGAAGCGTGTAATTCCTCTGGGAGACAGTGTGTATCCTGCCATCTGGGCAGGGTGAGAAGACCCATCTAGATGAGAAATAGAGGATTCCAAGACCAAGCAAGAGCAGCCTCTGCTGTCAAAGCTCTAATTCCCCTTCAGTTTTCTAGAAACAACTTCACATCTCGTCTCTGATACCCACTGCTGACTTGAATGGTGTGAGACTAGGGACAATATTGGCCTGCCTCTGCACCAGCCCTTGGGACACTTGGGTTCTTTCCTGAAATTTGGGCTCACCTCTAGAAATTCTATGTCCTCCTCAAGTATGTTGAAGAGATCATCCTCTAGCACAGACCTGTGACACAAGCCTGGGCATTAGCAACACCCCATGTGAGCTTGGCGAAGATACTTTGGGGACAGCCAGGCCAGGCAGGGGGAGGTGCACGTGATCAGACAGCTAAAGTGCATCAGCCACACCATGCAACACAGAAAAATGAAGCAAAAATAGCACTGGGATAAAAGATAGCAGAGCTGGGGAATTGCTCTGTTTAGCAAATAACTGTTACAAGAGAGATTTACGGAAGATGTACAGGGAGCTGGGTGCCAAGGAGCACTCAGCTCTTGCTGGAAGGCTTCAGGCTCTGGGGTCCCAGTTCTCAAAAGCACCACAAGTAATTCACCTTCTCAGACAATGGTTATTGGGTCAGGGAATGAGGTGGAAAAGCCAAGGACAGGCAGAGCAGAAGAACTTGGAAGGAGACTACAGAGGAGATCCCCAGGAGTGATAAGATGTGTCTGAAAGGCACTCACTTCTCACTGGCCTGTGAGCAGGTGTCCTGGGCTCTCAAATTGCTACGCTTAGCTGACTGGAAAGCTCTGGCACCTTTAACAGTATATTCGTCTGGAAGCCAGACATGGAGTGATTAGGACAATGGACATATTCCTGACTCTGTCTCTCCAAAGGGGAATCTGTTGTGTCTCAATGGGCCAATGCTGAGCTCAGTGCACCCAGTACTATGTCCCCACAATGACACAAAATGGGGATGGCATGATTCTGCAGATTGACAACCTGCTCAAAGGATGGCTGGTCACAGCCTGAGCAGCATTCCCATGGCCAAGGGTGATACTGTGTCTCTTGCCTTTTGCTGGGTTCTTTTTGAAGGGCAGGGGGACCTTCTCTGTCTATGACTGTCCGAAATATACAACCACATGATACGCACCCGGGGCTCTGACCTTTTGGGAGGGATCTGGCTTTGCAGACTCCAACAATTCTGCTGAGGCTTCTTTCATGGTGCTGGGCTGAGGGACCTGCTGACTGTGTGGGCACAGAGACACAAGTAATGCTCATCAGTGTCATAGTTCAGGGAGAGGTGCACAGGCATTTGCCTATTGCCATTTTTGTCAGTTTAAATCTTTGCTGTCCCCTGGGATCAAACAGGCAAGGGCCTGATGATTCTTCAGAGCTGCCTTCCCTCTCAGATACAGAGGTCCCAGAGAAAAGGGTTTACTGGTGGCCTCTCACTCTCCCCATTCCCCCATCTCCTCACACACGCAGCTGCTTTCTGCAGGACACCTCTCCCATGCCTGAGAAGCAGATGAGGCCTTACCTGGAGCCATCTGTGGTCTGTGCCTTGTCCTGTGGAGTAGCTGTCTGTTGTGGCGCTCTTGTGGAGGCATCTAGCTGGCTTCAAGCACAAAGCATCCAATGGGAGACAGCCAAGGAGAGGATGAAAGATGAGACCCTTGCCCCTGACATCCATTCCTGCCTCATAGCTGACAGCCTGTCCCATTTGGCTGTGGCAGGATTCAGCTTTTTGATTTCAGAAGGACCACAGACACCTCAAAATGTCCATCACTGGTGTTCCTTCTTGCTGAATCCATCTCCTGCTTCTGGTAGCAGCAGCCCCAGCTTATACACTTCTGCCCATGAAACATGGCAGTTTGTCTGCAGTTCACCTCTGAGTCCCATTTGGTTGGCACAAGTCTGAACCTGTGCCCAAGTGAACTCAGCACAGGAGGTCCTTTGCTTGCAACTAGCAGGAATGAAGGGAAATGGAGGTAGGAGCAAGGAGGATGGGGGATCTTTTTGGGGTGTGCTGATCCAGGACAGCTCCATGGGATCTGGGGCCACGTGTGCAATTTTGACCACAGATGGAAAGAGAGCTCAGAGCTGGGATGAGACATTGGGCTGGGTCAGTAGTAGAAATCCCCATGTTAATACCCTAGCCTGAGAAGGACAGTACTTATTATTAATTTTCTAAATCTAAGCCGAAGATTTCTGAGATGTCCCACTAGAACAGCTACACGTGGAACAGATGGGAGACCCACAGCCATTGACTGTGCCTTTACCTGACGGGAGTGTGGAGGTCCTGCCCTTCACCCGGGGCATCCAAGGCATTTGCCTGGGCTTGAAATTTCTTGTGAGCCAAGCCAGCACTCAACCAGTCCTCCTCCTTCTTCAGTGGGTCAGCTTTAGCTGCTGCCTTCTCTGTGGCCAGGAGCTGGCTGCCAGGGAGAGGCTGGCTGTCTGCTGCAGGGCTGGTCTCTGCTGGAGGCTGTGGTTCCAAATCCATAAACTTCTCATCTTTTGAGCTCTGCCAGTCACAACTAGTCCTTCTGGCCTCCCTGACAAGGCTGTGACTGGCTGGAAGAGGAGATTTAGAGTGAGGCTCCTCTTTCAGTTTGACACTGCTCTGGGATGCATGCCTGCTGCAAAGAGAAGGAGTCACATACCTGCCTGCAAGGGGACCCTGCATGTGAGGGGATGCTGGGAACCCTGCCCACCCCACTGTGGGGGCAGCACAGCTGGTAACTGGAGCTACAGACACACACAGAGCACGATACCTCACAAGCTGCATCTTTGCCGTCTGGTCTTCAAACCCAGAGTGCTCATGCTCTCCAAAGACACATTTTTTCTTGTCCTGATCCTCTTCCTTCTCTGTTCAGACAACCGTCCTTGAGTCAGTACCCAGAGGAGCAGCTGTCTGCAAAGAGACCGGCCCTCCTTCTCTTCCTCCTTCCCCGCAGCTCCTACTGGGATTTCTGTCTCTGGGAAAACACAGCTGTAAACACCTTTACTGAAAAATCTATGTGTGTATGGGAACACCTTCTTTGTTTGGAATGAGCCCACACCCAAATGCAACTGAGTCATGGCTACAGTGCAAATGTTACCAGGCTGCCTCTAGAGCAGTATGACACTTTTGCATCAGCCACCATCCCTTCTATGTTGACAGAGAGCCCATTAGCAACCCTATTCACGACTACAGAAATGGCAATTCCTCTACAAGGGCATTAGAAACCAACCTCGCTCTGCCAAGATAATACTGTCACATCTGACAACCTTCCCAGTGTCCCTGGCTGGGCTCACCCAGCTGCTTTTTATTCTTCTTATCCAGTTCTAATTCCCTATGGTCTCTCTTGCTTGTGTCTTCCAGGAGCATTGCAAAGATACTGCTCTTGCAGCTGCCAAGCTCACAAAGCAGGGGTAGGAAAGCTCCCAATCTCAATAGGGTAATGAGGGAGCTGGCAGAAGAGCTTGCCAAGCCACTCTCCATCATCTTCCAACAATCCTGGCTCACGGGGGAGGTCCCAGATGATTGGAAGTTGGCAAATATCACTCCAATCCATAAAAAAGGATGCAAGGCTGACCCTAGTAACTACAGGCCTGTCAGCCTGACCTCGGTGCCTGGCAAGGTTATGGAGCAGATCATCCTGAGTGCAATCACACAGCAGCTACAGGATGGACAAGGGATCAGACCCAGCCAACATGGGTTTAGGAAGGGCAGATCCTGTTTGACCAACCTGATCTCCTTTTACGATCAGGTGACCCAGCTGGTGGATGAGGGAAAGGCTGTGGATATGGTCTATCTGGACTTCAGCAAAGCCTTTGACACTGTCTCCCATAATATACTCCTGGAAAAGCTGGCAGCCCATGGCTTGGACAGGGGCACTCTGTGCTGGGTTAAGAACTGGCTGGAGGGCCGGGCCCAGAGAGTGCTGGTGAACGGGGCTGCATCCAGCTGGCGGTCGGTCACCAGTGGTGTCCCCCAGGGATCAGTGCTGGGACCAGTACTGTTTAACATCTTTATCGATGATTTAGATGAGGGGATTGAGTCCATCATCAGCAAATTTGCAGATGACACCAAGTTGGGAGGGAGTGTCGACCTGCTGGAAGGCAGGAGGGCTCTGCAGAGGGACCTGGACAGACTGGAGAGATGGGCTGATTCCAATGAGATGAGGTTCAACAAGGCCAAGTGCTACGTCCTGCACTTTGGCCACAACAACCCCCTGCAGCGCTACAGGCTGGGCACAGAGTGGCTGGAGAGCAGCCAGGCAGAAAGGGACCTGGGGGTGCTGATCGACAGGAGGCTGAACATGAGCCAGCAGTGTGCCCAGGTGGCCAAGAAGGCCAATGGCATCCTGGCCTGGATCAGGAACAGTGTGGCCAGCAGGAGCAGGGAAGTGATCCTTCCCCTGTA